TTTTAAATGGTTTTTAATTAAAATTAGATATCTGGCTTAACTTTAGGAAAACTGAACTATAAAAGATGTTTAGTAACTAACATTTTGAGAAGGTGTTAAGTTGATCTTGACACTTCCTGTTTACTAGCCAATTATTTTACTTCTGGAATTGATTCCTGTTGTTACAGTGATTTGGCACTCTCTACTTCTCAGTATTAAACACTTCCTAGTTCAGAACTCACCCATGAGATGAAGTGCCAGGCAATGTCTGTTAACAGTTAAGTAAATCATTTGCATTTTTAAGCTCGTATCTGTTGATTCAACATTATGGGTCTTGAGGCAAGGGATGCAACCCAATTGATAAAGTGCTTGCCAAGCATGCACAGAGCCCTGGGTTTGATCGATAACACAGCATAAACCAGGTGTGGTTGCATACACTTGCAGTCCTAGCACTCCAGAGATTCAGGTGGTAAGTGGTAGGATCAAACAGTCACCCTTAGCTCCATAGACTATTCAAAGCCAACGTGGATTAGGGACCTTGTCTAAAACAATACAAGATAAAAATTCATGACTGTTATAGATCATTATTTTATTGTATATGTTTAGCTAATATATTGACCACAGCTTTGAAATGTTAGATATCAAAATATAAACAGCTATTCTGGTGAACCCTGTGTATCTTCATGAGAATTGTCACATTAATGGGATGAGGTAGTTCTAGTTATTAGGAACTAGCTTATCACTAAAGATTCCAGAAGTGGGGTTCATTTCCAAATGGTGGGTGGATTCCTTTCTGTGCTGTGTTATGGAGTTCATGTTAATCCTTTATTTTAAGTAGACATTTTGGTTCTGCCATTTGAGTAATTTTTATGTTTTTTTTTTAAAAATTAGTATGCCTTTTAAGTATGACATGAGAAACAGAATTACTCCTTCAAATTCATCTTGATTATTAAATTTGGGAAAACAAATATAGTTCAATTGAAGAAAACCTTTAATGCCAAAATAACTGGGCATCCAGTGGAGGAATGTAGAATATAGTAGGGTGTAATTAACTTTAGGTTTTGATGCACACTAACTGTTGTGCAAATTATTTAACCCCTGAAGACTCAGTGTCTTCCTCTGTAATGACAGAATTGTGGTAAGGCTTGAAAGAGCTAATGCCTGTAAAATTTCTTCAAGAACCTTCCAAGTAGCCTCTGTAACTGCTGTCTTGGGTGTGGTTTTGGTTTATATCAGTCTGCAGAGATTCCTATGGATTTGTGAAGTTCGGAAAGGCTTGTCTTCCCCCAAATCCCCTGCCCCTGCTTTCTCGGGACTTTTCTCTCATGCAGCTCTGTAGATGGAAGTTTCTGTCCTACCAAGTCCGGCTGCCCGTTTATTCCCAAATAAACACACTGAGGCTTATATTAATTATAAACTGTTTGGCCAATGGCTTAGGCATCTTACTGGCTAGCTCTCTTAATTATTAACCCATAACTATTAATCTATGTATTTCCACGTGGCCTTATTTTTCCTCAGAATGCCCAGGTGTCCTATCTCTCCAGTAGCTACATGGAGTCTCTCTCATGACTCACTCTCTAGGTTCCTCTTCACAGCCTTCTCGTAGTCTGGTAGCCCTGCCTATACTTCCTGCCTGTCTACATCCTGACTGTCATTGGCCGAAACAACTTTATTCATCAACCAATAAGAGAAATATATTCACAGCTTTCAGATGGACATCCCTCATCATCTCCTCTTTTCTGTCTATTTTTTGGCTCTGTTGATATCCAACCAAAATATTTAAATGCAGGACTTAGCCAGGCTCTTTTAAAAGGAGAGGCCAAGACCTTTTTAAATGGGTGGGGTTTACTAGGGAGTGCACTCTGGGAAAATAAAAGGGAGAATGATGTGGGGGAGCTGAGCCCACCAGGCCTGTAGTCTGTGGACGGAGGGATGGGAGAAAGTGCCAAGGAAGGTTGTAAGCTCGTGTCTTAGCTGTGAAGTCTAAGGAAAGCCGAGCAAGGCTGTAGGGGAAACTTGTAGCTTAAGTTTCTTGACTGTAGAATCCTGGGTCTTGGAAGGACAGTCTTGATTTACTGGTAGGCTCAGTCTTGGACAGCCCTGGGAGGCATGGCCTGGAATGTGGGCTCTTGGGATAGGCCACATGCACTTCCTGAAGCTTAATCTCTAAGGCGTCTTTTAAGGCCACCACGATATTGCTGTTCTATAAAGGATGGCATCCATATTCATTGTATTGCACCTAGAAAGCCGTCACTATCTATTCTATCTAGCCAAACATTTTTGGCCAAAAACAACCACTTTATTATTTTTTCCCAGACATTTATTTTTTACTTAGACTTTCCCAGAGGACATAACTGGTCTTGTCAGCACCTCCCATTCCCCCACGAAGAGTCTATGCATTCACTGCTACAAAGCAGACCTTAACAGTTTCAAGGGCTGGAACCTACCTTAACTGCCAAAGGACACTTTCTGTCTGAATTATCATAAAAATGTTTAAGTAAAAAGAAAGGAAGAAAAGGAGCAAAGGGGCCAAACAAAGCAGCTGAGATCTGCCAGACTGTCGATAAAATCAAGCAACAGACGGAGATCATAGGGGATGGAGGGATGTTGGGATTCATTCTCTTTCGATGTTCTTTATGCGTTTTCCAAACACCTTCCATGCACTCATTCATGCACTCATTCACAGACTCACAGTCAGGGTAATTCCTGCCTTCTAGCCTCTTTGTAGGCTGAACCAGCAAAATCTCGTGAGACATCGCGCCAAATACTTTCCCACAGCTGCCGCTAACACTGCTGTCTCCACACACGAGCTCAGCCGCCTGCTTTACTCTTGATTATCTGCAACTATTTAATGTTTCTCGAATGTATGTAGAACTTATTCATGTCAACAATGAGTTTTCTATTGTAACTCTTTTATTTTTCTGCCTATTTTTCTTTTCTTATTTCTTTTTTTCTTCTTCATGCTTGGCTAACTTTGTAAGCATTTCTGTAATGCCATCTCTTTCCTAAGTTGATCTATTTGGATACTATCTGTCCGTCTTCTCCACATGTCATGTTTGCACTGTTACCACTAGTATTTACGAGGGTTAGTTTTAGTTGTGAATCATGAACATACAAAATTAAAAAAAAAACAAAAACACAAACAAAACTTAACCAGGAATGCAAAATGGTGTCGTCTGTATGTGACAGGGACGCTATACCCATGATCATAACAGTATGGTCACCTAAATAAGACCTGCACAATGATAACACCCATTGATAGGCCAGCATGGGAGGGGGAAATCTCACAAGGTCCCATCCCTAGGTGAAGAACTACAGGCAATTAATCCTTGCTGAGAAAGGGAGAAACACTCTTCTCTAGGGATGAGTTCCTGATAGGTAATGCAACCCTAAGTGATCAGTCCTAAACACATACACATAGGAGAAACATTAAATGGACTCAGCAGGTTGTATTTATGTGCACATATGTATATGTGTAGCAACAATAATTAAAGATGTAGCCATGGAGTTTGAGAGTAGCTGGGGGAGGCACAGATGTTAAAAAGGAAGGGGGGGGGAGAAATGATGTGACTGTAGGACCCATGTAGGAAATTCTCAAAAAATTAAAAAAGTATACATTCAAAAAGAATGCAATCTTATTACAGTCTCCTGGATACGCTCAGAGGTAAGCAAGTGAAAGCAGGCATTGTACTTGGGACATAGTCCACATGCCCCAAGATCTCAGATGCCTTCTACGTCACACCCCTTAGGTGTGTTCTCTCCATTCAGCAGCAAAGATGGAATCCTATCCATCACATTATGTCTTAAATGGGGACCAAGAGGGCCAAAACCCCCATTTATCAGTGTTCTAGAAGTTGTTCCACATAAGCATCTGTCAGGCCATTGACCGGGACTTATTCCTGTTGTAACACTAACTCTCTAGGTGCAGAGGAATGCATTCTTTATTCTGGGTAGCTCTGTGAGCATGCAAAGAGGAGTTATTTGGGGGCAGCCGGCGTTGTCTATATACAGGATGCTGCCCAAACAGAATATGCAACTGAAACTATTGCTCCATTGCAGCTTCCTGCTAGATTCTGAGTTCCTCGCTATGGTGACTGACCTGTGTGTTTGCTTTTCTTCTACATAGTATTAAGAATGCCTCTCTGGGAACAGGTGCTCAGGCTCTATTTATTGAGCATAGGAAGCAATTTATCAACATCTTTGTGAAGTAGGAAACTTTATGTAACTTTAGGAGAACTCATGCTTCTATATCAGCTCCTATTTCTGAGTTATGGTTCTAGTGGATTTCTTGGGCATTTTGGCTTGCTTCTGACTCCTGTTGTCAATATAATTATGACGATAATGGTAAGAATAGTATAGGTACTGCTGTTTTTATTATTAGTTTGTGGGAGTCTTATATGAAGCCATCTTGTCCAGTGTTCTTGCTTCTGATAGCAACCTCTTTATTTTTCTATTATGGCTTCTTCTCATTTTCGTTTCCCTGGGCTATTGTTTGTAAAACCCAGTGTTCTTGCTTCTGATAGCAACCTCTTTATTTTTCCAGTCTCTATTATGGCTTCTTCTCATTTTCGTTTCCCTGGGCTATTGTTTGTAAAAATACTTGTAGTTTTAAGTGTTGTTTTGTTAGCCTCAAACCTACATTTGTGACCTTTCCTTGAATGTCATGCAGATAATGTATGAAATCAGACCCAGGATGTCTGTTACACAAGGCAATCTGCATTCCTTCAAGGTCAAGCTGGAAGTTCATCTCATTCATCTTTTCCTTTGCCACATTTGTAATTTCCCTTTCATTCTTTTTCATTTATACATAATATTTTTGAGAGCATAGATCTCTAATTGACCTTATTACAATTAAGTTAGAAGATAGAAAGAGAATGCTGAAATATCTGAGTCATTGTGGAATGCCATATGACATCACTGTCCCAAGATATAGCTTGGGTAAATAGGACAGTAGACAGGCACTGTATTGGAACTTTGAAAACCTAGAACCAGAAAAGTTCTTTTCCTAAGACATGTGTTTCTTTTTTGCAAATTATAATTGTTCTTTATTATTTAGAATTCCATACATATATGCAATTAAATATGATCATATCCCCCATTTTCTTCCTGTGATTCTTCCATAACCCCCCAAAATGTCCTCCTCTCAATTTCATGCTGTTTTTAATAACCCACTAAGTCCAGTTCGTGTTGCCCATATGTG